GTCTGTGGGAGTGTTTCTGTAATTCAAGATACTTTTTCTTCAGAGTTTAATAATTAGATATAGAATAGTGTTTTGCTTCTTATTGCTTTTTGCTGTTATCAGCCCCTATTTTAGACCGAGTGAAACTTCAAGATGGTAGTTTTCCATAAAAAGAAAAGAACATAGGAATCAAAGAGTATGTAACCACTGCATTGATAGGAAATAATAGGAATGGATCAAAGAGTATGTAACCACTACGTTTGGATTTTGGAATGGATGGAATGGAATGTCAATCAGATCAAATTGACAATGTTTTCCTAGTACGTTCCATTACACGATTCCCTTTTATTCGGGCCCATTTTAATAAATCTGAATCATTTCAATCTACTTACGTTTCACTCTCAAACCCAGTCTTAAAATAGCAGGCACAGCTTAACGGCCTTTCTAGGAGTATTATTACCATCATAAGTTACATTTGCTTTACATTTATTTTTTAGCATACTTACTTATTTATTTGTTCGCAATAAAGGTAAAAATAACATAAGTAGGTATACTTTGCACATACCTATAACTATAACAAAAAATTGCACCTCTGATAGTTGACAAAAAGACTTAGATTTTTAAATCAAGTAGGTATTGGGAGAAATCTCAAGGATTCGTTGAGTTAAGTAAAACCTAACAAGATCTAAACGTCCCCAATAAAATAATACGACTTGAGGCCAGTTTAGTTTCTAAACTTTAGCCAGATTCGGCCTTAGTAAATATCTATTTTTATCTAGTTGGAAATTTTTGATTAAATAAGCTAAAATTGGGATTTCATAATTGAGTAAATACTACCTCGCCAGCCATTGTTTAGCTCTAATAATAATAGATCTAATATAGTTTTGTATACACCTTGGTAAAGTTTTAGTACGGTAGTAGGTACACATTTATTTAACCACCCCACTAAAACTTTATTTTTGTCTGGCATTTCTTGTTTGTTTATTGATAGCTTCCTGTTGGCGGGAACTTTAAACTTAGCAATCAAATTTAATTTTTACGTTTAATTGTTATGTTTTTTTCTGTATTGTTTGTTTTGGTGTTATTTTATTTTTATTTGGATCATGTTGTTTATGTCTATTGACAAACTTTATTACATGTTGTTTTCGTATTTTAGCAAAACAGACTTGAGCGCCCTCTGCACCGACGCCAGAATAACACCGGTCGCTCGCCCGCCATAAATTTCTCTTTGACCCATTGCGATATCGTTGGCTTGGCTGTAAACAATTATGTGAGTATTTTTTTGAGAAATTGTAACAAATATAAATTTTATTTATTCTGATTTAATCCTAATTTTAAGCTTTCAAAATATTTGATGTTTAATAGACTGTATCTTTAAAAATACTGTATATCTTTCGTGTTTAGTTAATGTAAGCAGACTCCATTATTAAAAGTCGCTTGGCGTTCTTGAAGTTACTCTGTTGCTTGGATCCGGCAGGATCTTATTATCTAAAAAACTGTTTAATTTAGATTAACTGAGGGCGATTGTACTGGGAATAAATTGTAAATAGTGATATCTTAACGAATATTTATTGGTATTTAGTGAAACTGGATAAATAATTAATTAATCCGAACGTTAATTAAGTGCAGCTATCTAAGCGTTTTTTGTTGACATTTTGTTCACTTGTTATTATTAGTAAGCTTTCATTTAACCAATATCTTATGTGTCTTATTAGAAACCTTTAACAGGTTCCATTATAGACAAATAGCCTATTTACGCAGTAGCATCATCCTAATAATAATGGAGTATGAAGTGCTCAGTAAAATTTTAAGTGAAAGTTAAACAACTTGTTTATTTATTTATTCAAACGCTTGTTTCAGAATTCAATCTTCGAAGTTGATTTATAATAGCCGAAAATGTCTGATGACGGATCGACGGCAGTGGAGAAGAAAGGACGCGGTAGAGCTAAAGCCAATGGAACACAATCAGTCAGTATTAATTTCAAATATAAGTTACCTGCATTATGACTGCAGATTGACAATTTATAAATCCATTTTTTTCAATCTTAGGAGGCTAAGGGTGATACCAAGAAAAGGGGGCGACCCCCTGCAGCAGCCAGGACCAAGGAATCTACAAAATCGTCAGACGATGAGCAAGCTCCAGTAGCGAAAAGAGGTCGAGGTAGGCCTAAGGGATCCAAGAAAAAGGCAGCAGCTAAAGGCAAGGTACTAATACAAAATAATTACTTATTTAACTTTGAATTAATAAGAGGAAAGGTTTTTTACTTTGAATTAATAAGAGGAAGAAATTGTGGTATGAAACTAATGTTTTTGTGTTTTGGCTAGAGTGCACCAGTTGAAGGAAGGGGCCGTGGGCGACCACGTAAAGATCCTGTAAAAGATGCTGCTTCCACTGATGAGGAACAGGATGAAGATTATGAAGATGAAGGCTCTGAAGAGCAGTAAAAAGTGTTTTGTTTTCTGACATTACACTCACTCTTAGTGTAATTTGTTTGTCACGATAACTCTTTTTGTGTACTATTGCAATTCACTTATTTCTTTGTAGATCTTTACATTGCATTTATTTGTATAAGTCTTTTGGACAAGCACTTAGGGTTATCTTGACAGTACAAAATTCTCATCTGAGATTGTCTACCCAAATTTGAATCATGTGAGAAATTGTATTAATTTTGGACGCTTAATTTTTGTGTGATTAAAATGCATTTATGTGAAATATTTAGCAAGTTAGATAAAAAAATCTCACTTGAATGAATTTGGGATGACTTAGCTCTCCCTAGAAACGTACAACTTTTAAGATTTAATTTGTAAGATCCTTTTTTTGTAGAGTTTATTCAAATAGGTATTTTATTTTGTAATCTCTTGATTCGTAATTCATACAATTTTGTAGATTTATTTGTTGACTTTTAAGTCAAGTATTATTTTATATAATAATAAATAAATATTATGTTCACTTTCAATTTAATCTTATTTTTTCCCTTTTAATGTATTTAATATATTATTATTATAGATACACTAGTGTTTTGTGAACAGTGTTAGTAATATTCTTAAGTGTTTTTGATTGATAAATCACCTGGTATATTGCAATTCCACAAACTATAGTATCATGTAGTGGTATGGGTAGTGCCATTTGTATCAACTTTTTTTGTATTTTGGCTGACTGATCTTTTTTTAATTGACATTTATTGTGTGTATGTGCGTGAATGTACAAGTTTAGAACAAAATTAAATAAATCTATGAAATCCATTCTGACTTTTTGTAAACTGAGATGTAATGGGATTATTCATGTCCTACATGCATTCGAGTTATTACAATTATTTTATAAATTATAGGTACGAACGTCGTTATAAGCGTATGGTAGTAATTTTATTGTATAGCATAATTTATTTTCTTGAATTAACTGGAAGAACTATTTAATTCGAAGCATATTCTAATCGAGTTATTCAAGTTCTCTATTCATTCATATTGCTTACTTGGTTTTCCCTAAGCGATTTCTTTTAGTGACTACCATGAAACCTGAATATTGTTTCTGTAAACTATACGTACGAAATAGGTACTTAGGTATTTTTAATGTAAATGAAGTGGAATAGATGACAGACTTCTACCGTTTTCTTATCTGCAAGTGCAAGACGGGTTTGACGAAATGAACATGTTGGTTTTTGTAAGTCTTCAGTTGTGAATAATTTAATACTAGTGATACATATAGTGCGAGAATTTAGAAAACTGAATCCCAGACTCATAGAGGGAACAGTAAAACCAAACCCGAGACTAGGTACTTGTTTAGCAATCGAGCTTGTGGAACTTGCGGAGATTCAATTTACGAGTAATATGACAATATACATTACCTAGGTAGGAAATGTTTAAATTGGGTAGGTAGGTAGGTAGGCAATGGATGCTAAAAAATAGCAATGCTATTCACCCCTCTTCTACACCTATTGATAGGGGTACCTAGCCTTAGGATACCTCCTTCTCTAATTATATCCCCTAAGGCTACCCACTGACCCTAGTTAATAGTAATCAGTGACCTCCTAAGACCTGGATCACCTGGACGAGCAATATAATTAATGGTTACCTAGGTACCACCAACTTTTTAAATACATAGTGTATGACTAATACTTACTAGGAAGATACGTTCAAAGGGTACATTTATAAACACTACGTTAAAGGTATCTTTTTTATTACGGTTACTCTTTTCAAACGGAAACGGATTGGACAAGAGGGCAGTAAGGTAACCTAACCATAAACAAAATTAACTAGCTTTTAGCGGTTTTACCCCATTGGTCGTGGTCGTAGATTGGTATTATTTTAGCCTTTCTTAAATAAATTAGCTATCTTTATCATTTTTGTCGTTCATACTAGTAGTCCCTGATATAAAACAAAATAAGAGAAATGAACACACAAGGTACCTACTCATTAACGAAACCACTAAAAATTTTTAAGTTAATCAGAAAGTACAATTTGTCGTCAGTAAGTTTTTTTTATAAATATAGGTACACAATGTAACAAATAATTTTCATCCTTTTTCGTCATATAAATATAAAATTATTTTCACAATATCAAATTATAAAATAAAATGATACTTCTCGCGTCGCCCAGGACGAATTTAGCCCTATCTAAAATAAGTTGGTACGTAGCAGTGTTTCGGGAAGTGGCGGAGTACCTATCTGACTTGTTCTGACATGGAATTGTGGCAATAATAAACAAAATTAAAGAAATAGACTAGGTACCTACCCGTTTTACATGCCGACCCAACAGCAGAGATATTTTTTACCCTATAAAGTTGTCTATGATCAATTATCCTGCTGAACGGCCTGCAGACCTTTATAGTCTTACTGTTACGGATTCTTTATTTTTTGTACCTCACTCTTATTGAGTGTTTTTTATTTAAGTATGTAGTTTCATCATATTAAATTTTAATTTACAAGTTTCAAAAACCTAAATTGTTCACAGTTATGTGTGCATTAACCCTAAAAATATCAGATATATACTGACCAAAAATCTATTCATTGTCTATGGTTTTCGTGCAGTACTATTATTTTATGTTTTGAAGTCCGAGACCCGAGAGAGAGACGGTTGCTGACTGTCAGCGTCATTCATTCATGTGAATGGTGAACTTACGTACGTTGTAAAATCATTTTGGGAAGATTTTCAAAGTTTTCGCGATTTTATTTGATTGAAAGTATAAATTAGAGGTTTCCATTTGATGTTACAGTGTGATTTTAGAATATAACTACAGTTTAGAATACTTTAACGAACTTTTAAAGTGTGTTCTATTACTATGTTAACCGTGTCGCGCAGTACATCAAAAAGTTGTTGACTAATTTCAAAGTTCTTAAAAGTGATTGTTGTCGTGTATCATACATGTTTATCACTTTGTGGTTATATGTGCCTGCTGTAGATTTGAAGAATAAACATTACGACAGGTAAGCAAGGCAAACAATTTCAATAAAAGTTTAAGACTGCTCTAGATGCGGAATGTCGTGATACAGGTAGGTTAATCACGTAACGTTATCTGTCTGATTACAGTACACATCACAATAAAGAGCTAAAGCTCTGAACCTTCGTGAATGAATTTACCTTTTTTTTTGTTATTCTGTAACTTATAATACTTTTTAGTGGGTTAATCTGTAAAATATATAACTACTATAATAAAGTTTTGATATGAAAATATTAATTCTTAATACCTACTGTTGTAAACGAATAGAAATAAAATAGTCTAGGAAATCCTAATTAATAACAAATGTCTGAAACATTCTTTAATTGAAAGGCAATTATTTGTTTTTTATGTTTTCGTCCACTGAATACTACTAATAATAAATAATTTTCTGTCAGAGGTATTCACAACCTTATATTTCTTGTAAATTCATATTTATTGTGTGATGAAATTTAATGAGTGATTTGTATCTCACAACTTTTTTATATAAAATGTGTTAGCTTTTGTAATTTGGTTAAATTTCTATAACTATATTATCTGTAATTTATCAATATTTATACTGACTATAGTTTATGGGACATGATAAAAATATGTTTTAATGTAACTTCTAAGTTATTGTAAAGTCACATCTTGACATACATCAGAATGTTTTTGTAGTCATAATAGAAATAATTCTGATTGATTAGTAATGTGCAGTTAAAATCGCATCACCTATTTTAATTGAATCAAAAAGGAAATGGTGTATACAAACCAATATTGTTGGTTAAGTTATTTCTTCATTTCACAGTGTAAATCGTTTTGCATGGATTATTTTTCAATAATGACTAAGATATCAATTATTGACTAATTTGATTATGAATAAATAATCAGCCTATAAATGCCCACTGCATCACCACCAGAAATTATAAGTAAACATATCCCCATATCCCAATGTTTGCCTTCACATTATGTCTGTGGTATCTATATACACTTAGAAAGTATACATGTAACTCGTTAAAGTTATGTTGATGCTTGCATGTTTTTAAACCTGTACCATCATGAATCTCAAATTCTAAAGCAAGTTAACCTCGGGGCTTCCACAACCAAGCTTACAAACAAATAGTGTGAAAAAATCTCTCTCAGTATGTATTGTTATGTGAGCTTCTCACTACCAACTTTGTAATTAAAAGCTACTAGCTTTTTCTTATTATTTATATTTACTATATGTTATATGGAAGTAGTGTTAATAAGGAAATTAAATGTCATGTTTTTCACCTTTAATTATACAAAAAATATTGTGTGATAGGCGAGGAAGTATTATGTGCATAGCAAGTAAGTATTTCAGGGTTGAGAGTCAAGCACAATGATGTACCACAGACTCAGCATTGAGCAGGATTCTAGTCAATAAGAGTCTATCACTCCACCTTGCACCCTGCCTCTCAGTAATTTGACGACTATCACCCTCAAAAATGTATATTTATTTGATTATACTTTACTGGACGACAGGCACGTTGCACGCTTTTGACCTCTGAGCCCGGATCAGATCAGATCAAACTTTACTCAAACATATCGGCAGACTACTAGACTTGACACATATACATATAGGATGCGTAACTAATAAAAATTATTAAAAAGGTACTAATTTATCACAACCATTTAAACAGCTTTATTACTCTTTACTCATAAATGTGTATCTGCCGATCAAGAGTGAGAGTGGGCGTGGGTCCAAGCTTGGTAAGAGTTATTGGATTTTTTCAGTTGTAAACAAAAATCCTACATTTCTCATAATCAATCTATCTTTATTGATTGGAATTCAGGATAACAACCTCAATGTTCACACCAATTAGATTTATTCACTGGTAAGTAAACATAGGCGTGATGTTATGTTATAATTTATTTACAGTTTAAATAATACCCATTAAAGTTCCGAATGAATAAATAACCTATTATTGTAACTATTACCTACATACCTGTACTATTTCATAATGCGGTAATCCTGGTATCGAACCATATCCTTATAGTACGCTCGTTATAAATTTGAAGTCTACTGATACGATTATAAAATTATTCCCCATGGACTGACGGTTTCTGGTGAACAATCGTGACACGTGCCGTGCTTTGTACACGGACATGTCGCATTTACCATACTCCAGCACGAGCGTGGCGTTGGACCTTTTGAATATAATACTTTGCATACGAGACTTCCATTCTAATTAGCTTTGTATGGGTTAAAGTGATATGTACTTGTTTGTGACATAACCTTCGTATATTATTTTAAATCGTAATAACTACGGTACTTGTAACTTCGACTTGATAAATACTACATATTTTTAAAGGTAACGCACATTTACACATCCTTACGAAACTACAAAATAATTCAAAATTTACATAATACATAATTGTGGTTCAAAATATACATAGAAGAGAGGCAGCCCCATTGTACGTTTACGTTAAACGTACGTTTTAGGTACGACTAGCTAAACTACTATTAATATTTGTATGAACAATTTAATACGTAATTCGTAAATACATATTGGTATTAATAAAAACAAAATTTGTCCAATTCTGTCCAGAGCACATAAATTGCGATCTCAGTGACGTTTATTATTAAGTAAATTGATAATAACATATTCATCATAAGTCATCAACAACTTCAGCCTAGTTGTTGAAAACACTAGTAACGTTTGCCTATTTCTGTCGATGAAAATGGAACGTGAGGTTTACAGAAGTCTCCCAAAATGAGATGAGATATAGATGAGACCGACTACCTCTTGAAAGTCTTACAAAATTTAGCAAAAAAAAAGTAAGATCGAAATGTCGTCAGGGCACCAAGTTATCCCACAGGTCTATCCTTATCGACGACAAAGTTTAAAAAATAGAAAGCATTATACTTAATCAACTCGTGATGACGCTTATCTAGTCCTTAGGCACCGCGATCTCGGCCCAGAGCAGGAGAAGGAACGGGGGGTTTTTAGTTAGTAAGAGTCTGACACATGGGCGGGAGAAGTCATTTGATGATTTTCCTCTCACAAACCCGCGCGCGGAACGCTACGCGCCGAACGCTCAGGTCTGGTTCTGGTCGGGCGGCGAACTACCCTTACTCGCCGTCCGCAGACCCACGCTTACGGTGGCCGGAGATCATTTCTCGATCCCCGACGCCCGGAATGTCGCCTTCTGCGGCTGCTGGGGCGCAAGGATAGTTTCCTCACGCGCTTCGCCTCCTTCTTTGCGAGCCTCACTGCTTCGCAGAAAAAGGAGACGACTTCCCACTTCCTCTCGCTACGAACCATGGCTTAAGACTAAGGCCGGGCGGGAGAGGTCGCCGCCGCCGATCACTTCCCTGAGGACACGGCGGTGCTCAGCCCAGGCAGGGCATACCGCCACTGTATCTTCTAGGTAGTCCACACAATGACGACACTCGGGCGTTTCCTCCCGCGGAATCCGAAACAGGAACCTACCGAAGCTGCCGTTCCCGGTAAGCACCTGCGCCAGGCGGCTACTGGTTACCCTGCCACCGTGTCAACAGTGTAGTCATGTACTACAGACGCCGTGGCGTCTCTCAAGCCACTCAAAGAGCCAATAATGTACCGTTGCCCCGTAGAAGGAACGGAGTGGTTTTAGTCATCAACAGTCTGACACTCCCTTAGGGCGGCAGAGGTTATAGGATTTAAGTTATAAGTAAGTACTAACTTATCAAGTGTATGAAAAAATGGTGAATGATGAACCATTTTGTACCACCCGGTCGTTGCCTCAATGAGTCATTTATGCACGCGGTGAGTAGCTCCGTGTTGAATACAATCCTTCCAAACGAAATCAGGTACGAACCTGATTATCTTTGCTCTGTACTTAGTCCTACAGCAACGGTATCTTATCTTAAATTAGGTACTTCGCATAACATTTTGTTGATCCTATTGTGGACTTCAACTTCAAAATATCTAAGAAACTATTGAAATACCTTTTGTACAATAAGAAATCTTTAGAATCGCATTCCATGTAGCGGTGAGTCAACGTCTGGCAACCACAAAAACGTTATCAATTCGTTTAAACTCTTAAAATATTCTACTTTTAAAAGCACAAACTTAAAGTACACACTGAAACTTGAAAAAGTGCAGAAGTAAAGTAGCGTTAAAAAATTTGGTCCCACGTTCTTTGAATATTCGAGTTTATGCTCTCTTAGTTAGTGCCGAAGATTTTAGTTTATTTGGTTTTCTGCAGATTTTTATTTAATACCGTAGCATCCCGAACTAAGGGGCGGCAGTGGAAGTCTTCCGGCTGTTGTTGATGATTAAAGATTCTCACCTGCAGTGTGCGTTAATGAAAACTGAAATATCTCTTATGCCACGAACGTGTTTGTCATTGAACATATTCACTTTTTTGTTATAATTTTCTTAACAAACCCGCAAGAACATTGCCAGTGTAGGAACTGATTTTCCGTTATTTTTATTTGCACAATGGCTTGTAATTTATGAGTAGTCGTTATGTCGGGGAATATTGTGACTGTCACGCTATTATTTTGGTTTCGCTCTACAATTGTAGCAATTGATATCGTAACTGTGCTGATGGATAGATGACCTCGTTGCACTTGTATCGTTTTGTGGACTGAAACAAAATTTTAAACTGTGCTTCTTTTGTTGCAGATAGCATGACGTAGATTATTCTAGCCAGCTTGCTGTCCAGCCCATAGAGTGCACAGTAACGAAGTAAGTTTCACAATGTGATCTTCACTACGTGTTGCTTGTATTGCATTCTGTAGATAGAAAGCGTCAGCTATGTTAAATACCATTGCGTTCGGCAGTAGGTCACAGCTATGGTCGACGTCCTGAATTTTTAAGTATTCCATTACGCCGCTACTTGCAACTCCGTCTTAGTATGTGCGCGCTTTTCTCTCGCTGATTGCGTCTTTATAACTTCGGCTGCCACAAGGGCCGCTGTATCACCGTCATAAATACGCTCACCCTGGAGCTTCGCTCTTTCACGCGTTGTTAAGATAAGGCAACCAAACATCTTGAAGGTGGCTGCGTATAAAAGGATTCCCTGTCCAGTTTACATTACTATCATAATAGTGACGTAGAAATTCGTTAAATAAAACTGAAAATTGCTTAATACTAATAGATCTAATAACGATGGTCAGTGAGTAGTGGCTAGTTTTCTAAGCTCGCTCGATTTAAACTTTCACGTCTACTTCTCGCAATACATGCCATTTAGCTACTTAGAACCAGTTTTTTTTCACCGTGCCTCATCGGGGCTTTCGTTTGTTCCTTCGTCGTATCATGTTGCATTCTGAGCTGCAGAAGTTACGCTCTGACTAGTATATAGATGCCAGAAAGCGGCTTAACTGAGCATTTAGTTGTGGTTACTATTTTACGAACATTTTTACTTAAATTAGTAGTCCCTTGACTATTCTTTATTGGTTTTCTTGGTGTATGCCATTGCTTAATACCCTAAGTCATAAATGAGCCTGACATGCATGCATTAAATTGATTTCGTACCATGCATGTCAGTTAATTATATATTGGTGCTTCGTGTGGGAGGAACAATGACCTTATGGCGCTCGAGTAAGGGGGCAACTCCGTACTAGGATTGGCGCAGCAACGCGTCAGCAGCAGAGCCGATTGCTTCTAATTAAATTAGGTTGCAAGTGGAACGCGCCAAGCTCGCATTGACTGACCGCTTTACACACTCTCACTCAAGTTGTGGTTTTACATAACAATACAAATATATGTACTTCCACGCTAAATACGGATATATCTCAGATATTGCCAAGTAAAATGAATCCTTAGCCCTGTTGAAATATACGAAATATTGAGTAAGTTGTCAGTTTTCTTAGTTATACTTACGTCTAAAGAATTTTATAACATTCGAGACCTTAACAGTCCCAGTTCAACGTGTCCTTAAAAGAAGTGTTTTGAAAAAGTTCCAACGTAACAAATACCCAAATTATACTTGCATTAACACTGAATTGGTACTATTGACTTGCAAAACTGATATAGTAAACAATAGCTGGTAATGGCATCTTTGCTTTGTTTGATATATTCAATGGTGCAACCGTAGCATTGTTTAAGATTATCTTGTAAATCGGTTTACCTTTTCGGTGTTATGAAATTACAATTAAGTACCTGCAGATGTACTTGTAGCATTGAATTCCAATATTGGTGGAATAACTTTCGTTTTTCATCCGTTGTAAAAGATAAGTAGGACTTTGAATGATACAATCTGGCCCACATGACATTTTTCGTGTCTGTTTCGCTTTGTTATTGCAGAGCCTGCGTGAGGCGAATCGGTTCCCTTTTCAAAGCATACTCGGTGCCAGGCTCCACCGACCCCATGCACGTACCGCTGGTCGATATGGCTATATAATATGTCAACAGGCATTGTGTACCGGAACAGACATTCTGTTTCGCTTCAACTAGTTACCGTGACGTTTGCTAAACTTCGATGTCATACAATCGTATGCTCGGCAATCCCGTTTTCGATGAGAGTGAACGCGTCGTCCGGTCACGGTCATTTGTTGGAACGCGAATGCCGATGAAGTCCGCAGTGGCGTCACACTTTTCTTTCTTCTCGTCGCCGGCTGGTGTGAACGTGGCACTTCGACCAACCAAGTTGCAAACTTTGCTTTGGCTGGGAAACCCAGTCATCATGAAAAATGCTGATCAACTGACTTTTATGGCTCAATGACTATTTCGTCAATTTTCGTTACGAATAATAAAAATCCAAAAGATAATTTGAGTAATGCTTATTTATGGTACATATATTGTAGACGTAGTTTTAACTCCAACTATAACTTATAGAATTAAAGTCACGTAGCAATGTTAAGGAATGTTCGTGTACGGAGCAGGTGCACATACGCTCGGCGCAATGTCAGACGAAGTCGATGGCCAATAATATTTCACAATATTCTAAATATCATGCCTATATATATTATTGTCTCCAATAAAATTTCGCGCCATTTCAATCTAGCCATTTACCTTCGATCATTAATAACAACTAATGATCGAAGGCTTTTTCTGATTAAATTTGTATTCTTTCTTTTACCGAGTAGTAACTTTAAGTGATAAAAAATGTAAGTTTTATAACATGAGTGTAACCCTTGCCTTGTCTAGAAGGTCGGTCTTCAGGGTAGAGCTTAGCGGCTCTATTCGCCGGTACTTGACGAGTCTTGCGTGCCTTGAATGTGAGTCATACTAATGCCTTAGCTTGGTGCTTTCGCATTCCGTTTATTAAATACAATAACATGCAGTCATTATTCTGTATTTACGTAGACGAAGCGGCGTTTTATATTAAAGTTATTACTTGAAATGCTATGAAAATTTTGATTTTAATATGTTTTTGAGATCGTTCTGTAGAACTTTTTTTAATATCGAAATTCTTTTAACGAAATAAAACAAATCAACTAATTTACCGATGTAGAAAATTGATACGTTATTGAATTCAATATCTTCAATATTGTATTAAGTAGCAGTAAACATATTTTAGCAATTTTAAATTTCCAAACGATGCATAAGTATCTGCACTGTTTCTAGCAGTTAGTCTTATTCGATCTAAAAAGTCGTCCATTTGCAAAGAGAACGATGATACAAAAGCCGGTTTTGAATGTTTTGCATCACTTAAGATAAGGGTCGACGAGTGACGTTTTAGTATACTGAAGCGAGCAAATGCAACTTTGTGAATTGTGAAGATGAACTTAAATCGCCGTCAATTAGTATCGTTGCGTGACAGACTAACAGTACCGTCGCGTTACATAACAGACATGGGAGCATTCACATAAGGGGCCAAGTTCTCAGACTTGCCGCGTACAACACGTCGCGATCATCAACGTCTTGAACACTCATGTTTCATGATTCCCGTAATCGGAGTCACTCTGCACACGCAATTACACAGATAGCGCATCCTCATTTTGTGACATGGTCTTTAGCGCTAGAGAAAATATGTCTTATTATAAATAATAATGATTGTTTTTGAGTACAGAGGGTACTAAAAAACAACTTCTATGGAAATGGTGACGCTCACTAGTCTTATCGTTTAGTTTGCAACAATGATTGGTTTTTCTGATGGAATTTTTAAAAGGATCGTTATGTTTTTTTACTCTAAAGTATACCAAAAAAAGGCCCACCAAACACTTGTTTCCCGTTAAGGCTTATCAAGTACGTATACAACGGTGTTCGACAAATGTGGTGTCGCGTCGCGGATAGGTCCACTTGTTCCGCCCCTATGCACTTGCCGCGGGGGTCGATATGCCTATGGTTTTTGCACCCGCTTTATTATTTTAACTCGACGCGTTCCCACGCTGCACTTAAACAGAATTAACCTGTTCAATGAAACTAGAATGTTTATGTTTACTCATAAATTACGTTAGTGTGTTGCGTTCTTGCAGATTCACATTGTTATATATTATGTTGTTAACTTCCTGGAATACCGTTTATGTTCTTAAAATTATCTGTACAAGTATTGGTTTTCGACATCAATACAGTCGTAATGACATGGTAACGATGTCGTATGACGAACTATCCGGCTGATCACCTCTTGGTGAGCCCAGGAAGAGGCAAGGTCGGCGTCCAAGCGTGAAGTTCCGGCACCATAGACGAATACTTCGTATTTGTCTAACAAATACATACCAAGCTGACAATATCTAAAACGGATAAAATTATGTTTTGATATTTCAAGTCTACCTACTTTGTTGTTTGGTTCAGTGGTAAAAATAACTCGATTTTGAAGTAATAGATATACAGTATGTTTATTTTTTTATTCAACAATTACTGTGCTCTGACCAAGTGTTGGCTCGTAGGAACGTTGTGTTCGTTTGAAGCGGAAGCGAGCTGAACCATAACAACGTTGACGGCTGTTTCTGTTTCTGACAGTTAACACTAATAAACTGGTTCAGATGAAAACTGAGATGAAATAGGAACATGTTTCTCTGTAATTCTAAACTCAAGCCAGCACCGGTTGTTGCTGCTTACTTGCATAGATATTGTTTTAGGGCTGTCGGTACGAATTTTTGGATAAACAAGTTCATTGCCTTTATTCTGAAAGGTTGTTATTTAATTTGTTCATGGTTTTGTAAAGATGTTGGAAATTGGGGGTCGATTAATTTAACTGTTACCTGATTTAGTATTTCATGATTCTTATACATATTAATTACGTACACTAAAGTACAATTCAGCAGAGTTTAAAACGTACGTAGAGTCTACGATTTTTGACCCCCCAGATTTTTTAAACACGCATTGTTTGTATAAAATCACACGTTTGCTTGCCTTTTTAGGAGAGAGAAATTTACGGGCATTGGTGGTCGATCGTTTCATGATCGTCGGGGCCATATGTTTACGATATAAATACCTACAGTGATGCGTGTGTGTACCGGTACATGATGAATGCCAGAAACCGCCCACACCGATTACATTTTTCATTGAAACTAAAATATAAACGCATAAGACTTTGGCGAGACACAAATGTAATTAAATCTTATCGCTAATGAATACGATATCTTTTCGTAATAGAAAGTTACCTGACAACCTTAGCCGCTTGACCTAGATTCAGGATCACCATTCAATGGTTACCATAGTCACTATGTTTGTTTGATTCAATAATGTTTACTATACATAAACGAAATACGTTAGTGAACCAGTCGGCAGATCGGCACGCATTGTGTACGTAAGATTGTTACATCAATCAGACCGTCGGAAAAGTATGACGCTTGATCGGAACTGCGCTGTTAACCGAATCACATCCGAATTATTGTACTTTTCAGCGAGCCTCGTCGAAAAATGATGTGTTTTTGTATACAGACCTTTTATGAGTGTTCTATATTATGTTGACGTGCCATATTTATTTAACAAATTATCACTATCGATAAGGACGATTTGTTTAGGTGCGGCTCACCGCTAATTGTTGACTTTCATGTTTGTAATGATATAATAAAACGGTTAGTCAAGTTTAAGATAGGTATTTTGTTAAGTAAATTCATTGATGTTTGACACTTTGCATTATTTTTAACTGTTCCTAACGTGGCTAGCGAAATATGGAGTCCATTCTGTGATCTAATGTGACCTGTGTGATAATCTTTGAGTACGGTAATTAAAAGTTACGATGACATTAGGTCACAAAATGAGAACTGTTCGATAGCAGATGACTTAATTATTTCTGTCGCTCTAATTAATTAGGCGTCGATAGGTTGGTTGATATTAATGACAATTACTAAAGTTAATAATAATATAATATAAAAATATCCGTATCACAAATGCTGCTGGATTTAGGATTGTAGTTATATAGAATAAAACTTTAAAAACTAACCCTTCTTAATTACTGGTAACCTTGGTATCCGTCGCAGGTCAAGAACCTATTCATTCGCAGACAATAACAATCCATATATTTTGTTCATAGTTTATATCATAAGTCTAGGCAATGTGTATTCGCAAGTAATCTAATGTTTTATCAAAAGCATACTGGTTACAGTTTTGGTACTTAGGTTTATTGTAACTTCAAAACTAATGCTAGTCGTGTGACATTCCAGGCTGACTGATGCGGTGACACTGACACAATGGATGCGGCGGACAAGCGAATGCTGGAGCGGGAGGCGCTCCGCAACATGATCCAGCAGTGGAACGCTAATCGCCTTGATCTGTTCGCGCTCAGTGAGCCCAATGAGGTAACGTTATATTATATACCTTGTCACTTCCCACATGAAGCACAATTTCCCATTTTGCAATTTATATGACCTTAGGACATATTCTGAATTTAACGACTCGCTAAACAAAAACGTCTACGTTGTTAAATTGCCAATGACATCTAACGATCATTTTATGTCTGGCCGTCAATTTCAATAATACGAATAGCGACCATCTCTTTTCGCTACCATTGGAAATTAAAATTATAGAAAAATATTTTATTAAAGAGTTTTTGGTTGAAGTGAATGCGACTACAAATGCCGATCAATTAGGTTTTGTTTAATATAAATGTTAAAACTTATAATTATCTCTTATTTCGTTTACGACTGATATTGTTATAAAAGCGGTCATGGACATGATTGGATACAGATTAGTAATCGAATTTGTGACGAAATTCAAAAGACGATTGATCCCCACTAATCCCGGAAATAATCTCTTCCGGCATTAGCACTTGACCCAACTAGCTGTGCATAAACCATTATACAGGGTTACTGGTAACCGAAACGAACGAAAACGAAGTATTCCTTGCAGGACATCATAGTAGGGTTAAAAGCAACAAATTAAGCCACCAAATGTTCTACCGAAGTTCAGTAGTTTTTGAGTTAGTAAGGGTTTTCGAGTTTTTTTGTGAAAAATCCCAGATTATTTGAAGCCAATTTGAAAATTATTCATTTATGAACATTACATTTACTATGCAATCCTTCCTCCATATATTTATAACACAAGATGATGTTGTTTCATGACAGGATTTCTTCAAATAACCGAGTATTCGTTGCTAACAATACAACGTTTAATATGTTTTAAAGTATAAGTATACATAAATACATATTAGTTTACCTACAGATAAGAGGTTGCGTAATCTAATTAATCTTTAACTCTAATAATACGACTGAAATAAAACTTGGAAAATACTGGATACCGTCTTTACCTGTAATTAGATCTAATCCCCGTTTAATCCAACTTACTAGATTACACATACTGAACAAAGTTAAGGCAGCAAAGCTAAACCCAACGCCTTTGTTTCAAATACGGTAAAGCGTGTCATGCAAATATGTTTGATAAATAAATATTTTGCGAAGATAAAACAGCCGATGTGTAATGTGTTATGAACATTAAACCACATGAGATAATTTATTTATTTTGTTGAATTTAAGAATGAATGATTTATTAATGTAGAGTACTGTTATTCCTTTCAGAATCTGGAGTTTCACGGTGTGATGCGATTCTATTTCCAAGATTCAGGTCAGAAGATAGCAACGAAATGTATTCGTGTCGCCTCCGACGCTACTGTGAGCGATGTCATAGGTGAGACCCGACTGCCTATTTGAGTTGTAATGCGACTTTAACGACGTAAAGATGTTTTCACCGTACTACAGCAACTAACGTGCATGCTACCTACCAGCAATTCTCTTGACAATAATAAAGCCGGACTTTTCTTTGAAATTATTCTCTGACTACAAATTCACGTAATTGTACCGAGAAAAGTTTCTATTGTTTGAACTTTTTAATTTAGAAACTTTGTTGTTCAGGCGAGGGGTTGAAAATGTTGAAATATAATATATCTAGAGAGAGACTATGAAAATAATTTATTCGTTATGATAACAAAGTTAAAGAATATGTTTTCAGTTTTGTTTTAAAGTTTTAATTTATACAAAGTTTCGAAGTGGTGTCTAGTATAACATATTTAAAATTTATAAAACGCTTCTGTATATGTCAGCAATCGGTGATAAAATTATGGTAAAATGAATTCTTCTTAGCTTTCGTATGGTTGTTTTTATCGTCGATGGATCAGCCACGTAATAATGTGGAACGCCTATAGATTTTGGAACCTTTCCCCAGTAGTGTTATCTCATCAACAAGTAGTAAAGTGCCATTAAATTAGTCTGGGCTAATATTACGCAAAAGGATAATATATTCAGGATAATTATGATGGAGTGGTGCAGCCAGCCAACTAGTCACCCCCTTACATACCGACATACTTGATAATTAACGAGTCTGCACAACCGGATAACGGAGTCGATAACTTGCTATTACAAAATATAAACAACTTGTATGTTACTAACCTACATCTGTGGAATGTAAATTTCCGCACGTACAGTCTTATGATACATTTCTTAGAGATGATTTACTTAGTAAGCTCGAATCTCTTTAGGTCTCATGGCTTACATACAGAACCCAGTTTAAACCGAACCTTGATGTTTCTCTAAGTCTATTGTTTAGTGTTTGCGAAATACGTTGGTATGTTGATGTCCTTCTAAATAGAATACATAGAAACACAAGGTTATACAACTGCGTTCATTGAAATGCTGCACTTGAAAGACTTCCTCGAGATTACGGATTGATTCTCATAGTATGTAAATGTAAGCGTTTAGCGTAAACATAAATATTTTTGTTTGGCAGAAACTTTGATCGAGAAGTTCCGTCCGGACATGCGCATGTTGTCCCTGGGCTCGTACTCTCTGTGGGAGACGCACGGGCCGGACGACGAGCGCAAGCTGGAGCCGCACGAGAAGCCCCTGCTGGTGCAGCTAAACTGGCACGCCGACGACAGGGAGGGGCGGTTCCTACTCAAGTGCCTTAGCAACAACGAGGTAAATTAAAATACCTGCAAAAATATCGTTACAATCATCGTTTTCTATATTAATCATAGGGGTAGTAGGTACAAGTTTTTCCAAAAGTGCAGGCATTCAGCTTCTACCTTTATCATTCTTATAAACGTTACACAAAAAGACAAGGTGAGAACCTTGTCTTTTTTAATGCTCTATAAATATACTCCACTTCTATTAAAAACTTTCAAAATCGTATCATTATAGGACCATTTTTAAACATATTCCCCAATATTTTTCATGTTCTGTTGCGGTTTCGAAACTAGAACATGTACAACTTTTTAGAATTATATGTATCTTCTAAGTTTATTTAGACACTACTGATACACGGTAAAAACATCGCGAGGATAACTGGACTTAAAATTTTTAATATTTTAAGTTTGAAGTCGACAGTCTACCTTGAACAAAAGGCCTTTGCTTAGCAGTGATCACTTATGTGCTAACTATGTTTATGATACGAATGTCTTACGATATTTTTTTTCTTTTAGGTCCCGCTGTCTGCTGTGAACGACAAAGGAGACCAAAACTTCAAACGAAAACTATCAAAACGAGAGAAGAAAGAACTGAAGAAAAAGGAAAAACTATCGAGACTGAAATCCGACACGAACGATGAAAACAGACCAGTCGCTGAGAAACTTTATACAGGTGACTACCGTAACTATACCATGTCTTATATTATTGTAGGAAAATGTACATTAGTGATGTGATAAATGAAAAAATATCTTATTTAAAACAAATTGATGATGATAAACAAACAGTATAGCTTTGTTTTATGTTATCCGTTTATGTATTAGGTGACGATTTCGGATCAATATTTCTTAGTCACCAAAATAAAGCACAATGAATGAAAGGTTAAACTTTAACAATAATTCGGTCATCGCTTCCTTATTGCGATTCATAAAATGCAATCAAAAATATTCAGATAAGAATCTTGAAGATTATGATTCATGTGTTTACAATGCACAAGGGAAATATTCTCGTTTCTTTTGTCTCGCAAGGACAATACGCTGGTGACACATTCTGTTGTATACAAACGCAAATACTGAGTTCGAGCTCAAGTAACCTGGATCCATGATAAGCGTAGTAAATATTTGTATTCATGTAAAAGTAAAAATATGCATCGAAAATGCTTGAAGAAGTAAAAATACAAATCTTATTACGTGATAAATATTATGTAAATTCTGAACCCAACTTATTTTTGCTAGGTTTTGCTCAATAAATTAAAATCAGCACGATTTTATTGTGTTCTGTACCTTTTTCTTAAAACGAAACGCATATCTGATACCAGATACCGGAACCGCTCATGAACATGTCGTATTTATTATAAATAAGAAAATAAATTAACATTACACTTTACTCAGTAGTGGACGATCCTGGAATGAGGGTCTCATTTGACTTAGTACCTTATCCTCAATAAATGATGGTATTACACAGAATTGCCGGAGACGTCATTCATGCGTAGCATAAGTAACCCCGAGGCGGTGATGCGGCGGCGTCGGCAGCAGAAGCTGGGCCGGAAGTTGCAACAGTTCAAGTCCAAGGATGGCGGACCTGATACCGGTATATAAAACACATAAATATTATTTTAATATATTTGTAGAAAGCAATATATATCGATACTTATTATAAAGTAGTTAGTATAATTATTCGTTCAAAGAAAATTATTGTATCAATTACTATAAGAAAACTTCCAATAAGCATTTCCTTAATGATGTGAAATTAGTTAAATAAAGGTATAAAGTGGTTATAATCTTAGATATTTGTTTCATAGTTTAACATTGACACTATGAACTTGACATTTGAAATAATTGTGGTGTCGTTTCTAAAAGAACATCTGCCTCGTGAGTAGCATGCTATAGCAAGTAGTTAATAGTGACAATTGACTGTTTGATGAGTCACTGGCCCTGCCACGCAAGTCATAGACAGCTCACGCATCTTAAATTAATATTGCGAAATAAATTATGCTTGCATCCGTTGACTTCCTTGTCTATTGTACGAGGTGGTATTTTTCATAAGTATTCCTAATGTAGGAATAATCGGCATTCCTAAGTCTAAGTCGCTTTTGATGCTGGTTTGATGTTTTTCGGGTTAAACAATTCTTGTCTTACGACTTTGAGGTTGATTAGAAATATAACAAAGTTAAAAAAAGGTTTTTTTATATATAAGAACAGCTAATGCGATCACGAAGCTAAAGAGTTGGGTTGTATTACCTTGCAACAACAATGGTAAACGTTTTAGTGATCAACGCGAGTAATACGCATTTTACTTATAATAAAATAAAAATACCCTAATCAACAGTTTTGATTATTTTATATTTAAGAAGGTATCTTTGTATCGTAGCTTATTTAAAGTACTTATTTCAATTATTATATTCAACTAGCGGCCCGCCCCCGCTTTGCACGGGTCCAACTATCTCGCTATCAAAGGGTCACTTTTTCCTAATCTTCCCCTCTACTTTTCTAATATTTTCTTTGATAAGAACCTTCTCCCGACAATAACAAACACAACAAAAAATAATTAACAAAATTGGTCCAGGCTTGTTGAAGTATGCGCTTACCAACACATCTTGCGATCCATTTTTATATATATAGAATATAGATTTTGTATTAAGCTCTGAAAAGAACATGTTGAATGCTTTTGCGTTGGGTATTTGTCATTCATATGGCAAATACTCAACCCATTCTATTATACGAGTAATATCGTGCCAACAGATTGTGATGTCTTTAAACATGTAAATTTTTTATTTACTTGAAAAAGAGAAAGTTTTCATTTCAAATTTTTAATGTACCTTAATGAATGTCATATACGAATATAGTATGTTTTTGATCCAGCACAAAGCGACTGTAGTTATACTTCAGTTGGACTAAAACTTACCACTATCAAATGAATAAATCGATTAGCCAGTTTCAGTAAACTGTAATAAATTTGAAGTTCAGCTTTCAACGAATATTTTAACAAGTGTGTATTGGCACAGGTGGTACCCTGCGAGTGTACGGCTCGATACTCCGGCCAGACGTGTCCTATGTCACGTTGCTGCTGTCAGTCAACGACTCTGCTGCCACTGTCCTGAGGGAGACGCTCGACAAATACGGCATGTCATATCAAGATCCACAGCAGTTCTGCATCGTGCAGGTAATGTTACTTCGTTTTATATGAAAACTATTTTCGCCGGCGTGGTATATTAATAAAAAGTAGCCTCTGTCCTATTCCGGAGTGTATCCTATGCTTGTGCCAAATTTCATTCAGATCCGTCAATCACGCCGAAACGTGTAGACATCCAAACATCATAACTTTCGCATTTATAATATTAGTAAGATTAAATATAAAATATGAGTAGACTAGATTTGCACATATTGAGATGTTTTGCCAGTTATATTCTGAGACCCTTGTAGTTAGGTGTTAACTCCAATACACAGGGCACAATTCCAGACTGCAAAATACAAGTGACAATTTTTAAACCCGAAAATATTCATTGGGAATGAAGCCGAGAATTGGGTAGTTTGCTACGTCAAAAATAAATTAATTCGACGTTTCAATACAATTAAATATAGAAAAAAGCTTCAGATTTTTTTTAAGCTAATTTATTTATTTATTTTATTAGGATCTCCAACAGAGAATACTCATTACATGCGCAATATAAAAAAAATACAATATGCAAAAAATAATAATATTGTAATATTATTGATTATTAAAAATAAAATTAAAATTAAAGTATCATTAAAACAGAATAAGATTAAAATCAAATTGAACAATTATGCACAATAAAATTTACACTAAACATTTTAACAATTTGAACATTTTGGTATGAATTAGTATATGAGACCAAAAATACGCAAACAAGAAACCATTAAAACGAAAAAAAAAAACGAATATAAAACAAAACAAAATTAATAAGTTAATTAAATTAATAAGTTAGTTAATAAATAGTTAACTATTAAGAAATAAGTAAGCTATTTGACGCAAAAATGTTATGACGTCATAACTCAGTTTTTCATACAATTTTCATAGAAAAGTATCGTTTTTGACATTTGGATAAAAGTATTGAATTTGAATAGTTGGAAACTACCGTATTGTTAGTTAAGTCGCGCTTGCGACCAGTGCGAATGAGGCAACAGTTATGATTTAAGATTTCAAGGCTATTGCAAGTGTTAAGAAAGTTGAGCTTAATTTAAATTTCTTAATAATAGAAAGAAGTCCAGTGTCATGTATTGCATCTCTTTTATTTATTCGTAAGAAGTGTATTTTAGATTTAACTTTTATGCTATACATATACCTACAAACTGTGTTAAAAAGTAAAAGAATTCGAGATCGAGATATTTATCTGTAGTCGCGATAATAGTAAAAGTAATTACACATCTTGTCAAAAAGTGTAAGTAAGTTATAGCCTCAGATAGGAGTAGGCACATGTTCTGTGGTTATAGCAGTTATCATTTATACTAGGGAAATTGGCACGATATTACATTTTGTATTCGTATAGTAATAATAATTACAGTAGCGAAATTAATGACGATAATCACTATGTAGTACATAAAGGCAAGGATGTCGTGACCGAAATTGGGCTATAACCGCGCTAAGGGACCAAAGTTTTATTGATCCTTCGACCTTCGTATAAAGCTATTCATTTTGCGGAAAGATACATACATTTGCCGATGAAACACTAAAATCGATTTGCATATATTTTTTCTATTTTATGATTGATGTCTCACCTTCTAATTTTAACCATTCGAGTGGTTGCGAATGTGTGGTTCGGGTTAATTATAGAGTTTTTTATTTTGATTTTCCCGGTATTTTATTTTTATTTTTTTATTTTATTTTATTTATTTTGAGGAACAGCAAACAGATACCTTATAAAGACTTACAAGTAGTTTAACAATTTTATGTTGTGGTCATAATGTAACCCACAACGCTGTCCACAGGTAGACATACAAATTAAAAAAAAAACGAGTTATAAACGCTAGGAACATTGATAGCATTGCGCGTAACAAATAGTTAGAATGTTTAAAGATACTAGACAGATAGTGGAAGAAATTACTATTGGTATATGGCAATAGTGAATGTTAAGGGGGAAAATTATCAAATGATTTCTCCAGCTCTGTGTAGGATGAGATGGAGTCTAGCACTGACTAAAAACTACCCTGTTCTTCCTCTTACTTCTGGCCGGGGCTGCAGTACATTGTTGCGCTTGACCCGCGGTCCCGACTGAACACCAGCCTCGTTGGGCCCCATCTACGGTGGTCTATTGAGTTTTTGAGGCATATTGGCTCACCTTTTAATATAAAGAGCTCTTAACTATTGAATACTGATGTTGGTATGATTTATTACTAATCAAGTAAATGGAAATCGAGGCGGCAAGACGGGTTGGCTTTAAATAATACTTTTAATATTCATATTTTGATCTCGATAAATGGAAATAGTTTTCCCCTTTATAACACAGCAGTAGTAATAAGTGCGAACTATATAAAGTTTGTCTACTCCTTCAACGGGTGATGTTATTTTATTAGTTCTAACTTCTTCTCTTTGTTAGCGGTTTTACCCATACATTTATATAGTCAGATCCGTTCATTGCTCGATAGTCTTCGTTTGAAAGAATAACCAACATTCAAACATTACACTTTGACAAAGCTTTGCATTTATAATGTTAGTAGAAATAATATTACTACATATATAGGAATAAGAAAGTGCAATGTTCTCAAATGTACATTTTGTTTGTAGGAGGACAAGACCGACAATTCGGAATACATTTTAGAAGACGACGAATGCCCGCTCGCGCTCATGAATATGACAAGAAGTAAGTACTGCCTGCTCCTTATCTGTTTAATAATTTTAACTGTTCACTTCAAATATCCATGTTTTTGTTTATGTCGTGCAAAACATAAGGCAGGAGGTAGGATGAAGGAGGAGACTAGCTGTCTTCAACCTGCTTTCCAAGCGTGGCCATTGTGGCACACCCTCTTATAAGAAGAAAGCCCATGACTCTGTACACTGCAGTGGTCGTCCTCAAGCTGTTGATGGCAATAACATTATTTGTTTTTACTGCTGTTTTTAAATAAACAAGTTTTTATATACTCATTCAACTAAATTTTCGTTGTATATGAACAATGACATGGTCGTGTTACAATTACAACGTATAAAATAAAAATATTTAAGCAAAATGTTTTAATATTATCAAAACTAAAAGAGAAAACAACTGAGCTTTGTTTCATCGTTTACAAATTATGCGAGGTCGCGTGCCACATTATGTAACGCCTGTATAAAGACGGCGGTATTGACTGGCGATTAGACGAATTTGACTTTTATATTTACTAAGAAAATGTGATTAATGAGATTTGGTTGTTGGCTCGTTGCCTCCGTCGCGTAATGTAATAGCTTATGGTAAGCGACGCGAACTTGTTGGCCCGATTGCTTGCCGCTTCGTTAGCGACGCTAGTTCGCTGTGAAAATTAACTTTATCAACGTCGACGGTCGCGTTGGGTGCATTAAGCGGATTCACAAATGTTTATTAAAATAAAAAGTCTGCCATTTTACGGCAAATTAATCTTTAAATAGTTTTAAGTTAAGCTTCATAAACTTAAAAATAGCTGCAATTTTCTTGCTAAAAATATGCTATCCCAGCTACTCTAGCGAGCTGCAGAAGTGCAGAGAACAGCGTTGTTTAGACTTCGTGCAAAGTGAAAATGAGATGACAGCGCATGAGCCACTTGACCCATATGGGAGCATTGGAGTTTTAAGACAATATGCTCTAAGAACATGCACCTAATATGGCTAGACATTTCATTAACTAAATTTTATTCTGGTCAGCACATAATCTTATATTGGAACTGTATGTGTACATAGACGTCAATGGAAAAGCAACTTTTCCCAGAAACTAGCATCTAACAAGAATATTGCTTTGAACTCTGAACAAAATTGCGTACTATAAATTGCTTAGACTCACTCATTAGATGATGTGAGTTTATTGTCTATGTGTACCAATGTCTATCTTTCTTATTTACTATTCCATTACCTGTCTCGTACCAAATTGCTTATATCGTGCAAAGAACTTTAACTTTTAGTAAAGGCCGCGCATCAATTACATAATGAATTCTCTAGTACTTTCATATAAAAATATTCGTATTTTTATATAGTTCGTAGTTTTATATTTGAGGGAAATGTTGGGTCGGATCACGTACCTGTTTTATAGTAACATCGTATTTGAACTGTGAAAGGGCTATCGGGAGTATTTTCGATATTAAGCAATGTTACCGGGACGGTATAAACATTTGTTAAAGTCCCGGTAAAAGAACAGAGAGGTATGTTATATTCGTGGCTAGAATTCTACCTCAGTTTTTTATACAGTCATTTATTGTATAAGCGAAGCGAGGTCCTTGGGGTATTTTTTTGTGCGCCCTTTACAACTGTATCGGAAATCGTACACGTGGGACTGAAAGTATCGCTTGAAACAAAGTAGGTATAATTTTGACAGACTTTTCTTTCACCATTGTTGGCTATGGTACCTTTAGGTACATTAATTTGACGTGTAATGAAATAATTCAACCTACATACAATCGTTATGAATTAATAAAATAAGTGCTATTATGTATAGGTCTTTGTTACTTCAAATTAACAAAGCTTGTTCATTTCTCAATTAGACTCCCGAGTATTGTTTTGCTCTGAAATTTGCAGTATGCGGATAGCGGTTAATATAAATCGTTTTGCTAAAACTGTTTTCGTGGTTCTATAATTTCTTTAAAAACTGTAATGACTTTTAATCTTTATACTCATACTAATTAACGATTCAAGCTTGTAATCATTTCAAAATTGACATAAAATGAATAAAAGTTTTCTATAGAATAATGCACAGTGTCCAAACAACAAACAAAAAAAAAAACAACGAAATTGATTTCGCATCCAATCTTGTCGCTAGAATGGCACATATGACATTTCAATCGTAAAATGTCCGTGGTGAGCACCGATGTAATCGTTTCGTCTCGTAGTAGTTATATTTATGTATAAAAAGACCGCTTGACACTTTCTATTGTGATATAAGGTTATACTGAAACCACATGTACGAATAAAAATACTACAAAATACTTATATAGTCTCGTTTCTAAATCAAAGAAGAACCGTTCTCTTGTTCTTTTATTTTGTTCGAAGTTGTAGTATAATTCGATAGTCTCCAGCTAGTCAAATTCAATACTCTTATTGAAATGTCTAAACGATAGATCTTTTCTTCGCAATATACATATAACCTCATAATATGTTGACGTCAAATATTTAACTTTAACTTTTTAAAAACTTGCTAGAGAAAATCCTAAATTATAGTATTTAGTCAAATCTATCGTAAGAAAGTCTAATAAATTTTATTAATTAATTGTACTGAATAGTCAAAATAAAATATTATTGACATATATTAATAATTTTGACTTAGGAAATTACTCAATTATCTTACCGTTGATCAACGTTTTGATTTAAAAGTTGACTTGCATTGGCACTTTAAACAATTTTAAATTGCCAAGCATGAGTTAATGAAAGCAAAGAACCAGGATGTTTTTCAGCCGAAATCCAGCTAAGCGAGACCGTAAATGATGTTAATTATTTATGATAGGATCCACGAGGAAGGTTTAATTGGATTCAAAGGTAAAGCTTATTTTATTTGTTGAAAAAATCGGCATATACTACTGCAATTTATAATTCCAGTGTCAACTTCTTCTAAACGTTTACACGCGTGTCTAATATTACATTTCTTATTAGTTGCTAATAAGACGTTGATGGTTGCTAATGCCTAGTCATGCTCTTCGTGTTAATTATCACGCTCAAGTCTTGATTGTCTGCGAGTACGTATATAAAATATTATATTTTATACCTTGACGTGATCGAACATTATGAAGACGAGCACTTAACCTACCCCAAAAGTTTGACGCAAGATGTCCGATGTCAATATAACTGAAAAGTCCAAATAGTTTCTAGATCCATGTTCTATTCGTTCCAACACAGAGAGCAAAAGTTTGTTCATTACTTAGTGAACTTTTGTTTCACGGCAAATATCGAAATTGAATCTCTCGTCCGATAGATATCGAGATGAGATTTGTCCCCTGTGTTGATCTGGGTTGTTCTACCGCCATCGGTCATATTCGTGTACTTGTGTTGACAAGTCTAGGTTAGGCAAAATTGATGCATTGCGGCAAAATTATTAATCAAAGAGCTGTTCTCGTTAATGTTTGCCTGACATGCGGTATGTAAAATAGCAAACCAAGTTACTATACTATTTGTATATTAAAATTTTTGTCTATATATACTGTCAATTTGATACCTTTAAGACTACTATCTATAATCGTCTACTGCTGGCCAAAAGCCTTGTCTAGTAACTTCCCGATACGCTAGTTGGAAGCAACCCACATCTAGCTAGTACTATAATTTTGACTTGATTCAGTTCTAAATAAATTATTTCGAATTTTCAATGCAAAAACACATTTTTTCAAACACGATCACAGATATTGACAATTCGAAAACTAGTACAATCAAGTACTCGGTTTATTATGGATATCGCAATTCGCAAAGCACAACATTACAAGACTAATTACTTCTACGTTATTACATATACATTATATACATATCAAGGCTTCACACGCCGATTCTAATTTAGACAGATCTACATTAATATGAAATCGAGCTTCATGCAGATTAGCTTATTGAATTTCAGAGATAGTTGCTTTGGAACCTTGTTGTTTGTTGAGCATGTTTATTCAAACCGTCTCAGACCAAGTAAACGGTTAAACAAATTTATTAACATTGTTTTACTGCCAATTAAAAAACTTTCATAAAATGAAATGTTAAAGTATTGAATTTAATCTTGATAAATTATGTCCTAAGCTTATCATTGGCTTTGTACAGAAGTACAATGGTTCAATACTTATATATAGAGCATTTTATGGACATATAAAACGAAATCGAATCTTCAACGGGAAATGAGCGAGTAGGCCGTAACGAATTGTCCGATAACGCTTTTTCATCAATAGCCCGACCTACAAATTCTTTGGTCCAAACTGAAGTCGCGGTACTCGGTATAGATACATAGATTTGGGGATGGATACTAAGGGGAGGAACAGTAATAAATTAAATTATTTAGGGTAAAAAGGCTTTCTGCTTAAGACCTGTCCTCCAAACTTCATAAACAATATTCCTCTAGGGATTCCAGTTCCAACTTCCTAAAGTATTCAATTATCGATATTATGGTGACCGCACAATTTCTTTTTCCATATTTCAAACATCTTTAGTAAGTAAATTAAGAAGCTGTCCATAATAAATTATTAAATCGAAATGTAGCTTATCTGTTGCCACAGCATCGTAATTCCAAAAAGTAAAAATACGGTTGTACAAAGAAGATACCTACTCTGTCGGGAACAATAAGTTATTTTTACGACTGAAATAAATATGTGCAAGATTTACAGAATAGCGCTGGAACTGATATGTAGCGATCCAATTCTAAAGAATGTATCTACTATGAATCTACAATCAAGTGACCATAGAAGACCGAATTACTTATAAAGGTTGGGAATCTTAACGGGACAGCCAATGTTCTCCAATGTTGATGTAGATAGTGTAGATGTATATTCCCAGAGAAACTTAATTTTATAGTGGTATTTAGTTAGTAGTTGACTGTGTCGGCACGTCCACTATTTCCGCGAGAAGGTTCTTCTTGGATCGGACAATGCTCGCCGCGGCTCACAATGGGAATACATGAGAGGGAACGTGCGGGCGCAGGACGCGGCAGTCGCCTCGCAGACGCCGCGCCACGCGCCTCACTTACCG